GACTAGCTGAAGTCTCCAGGGCAGCCCCATGTAGAGCACGTTGCAGTATTCCAGCCTAGAGATCACAAGGGCTCGAGTGACTGTTGTGAGGGCCTCCCGGTTCAGGTAGGGTTCTTGGTTCTTGTTGGATTGTTTACATTATGGAATTAAAATGGATTAACAATAAATGGTTGTTAAATGGTTTAACTCCTATTGACAGGTGTAGTGGGCACCTGCTGGCTGTTTCTATAATCAACCAATCATGCGCTCAGAGGGTGTCTCCTGATCCCCAAGAGCCAATAAAGGAAAATAAGTGGTTTATGTCAGGTTTTGAGGTAGGAATCATTTTTGGGTTTTGAAGAGAGTTGTTAAAGTCCTGGATTTGGGGGGGGGGGGGAGGTGTTACCTTGGCCAAAGTTGGAAATTGAGTTTTTTTCAGTTTTTTTCAGTGTAGCAGGAATTGCATTAGGGTTTGGGTGGATTGCTTTATATCTCCTTTTAAATGTGTGTTTTTTTGTGCGTGTGTTTAACCTAAAGGTGGCTCAGTGGCTAAGATGCTGAGCTTGTTGATCAGAAAGGTCGGCAGTTTGGTGGTTTGAATCCCTAAGTGCCGCATAACGGAATGAGCTCCCGTTACTTGTCCCAGTTTCTGCCAACCTAGCAGTTTGGAAGCACGTAAAAATGCAAGTAGAAAAATAGGGACTACCTTTGGTGAAAAGGTAACCGTGTTCTGTGCGCTGTCGGTGTTTAGTTATGCCGGCCACATGACCACCGAGATAACAGCGCTGGCCCTTGGGCCCTTGGGCTTTGAAACTGAGATGAGCACCGCCCCCTAGAGTCGGGGACAACTAGCATATATGCGCGAGGGGAACCTTACTTTGTTTGGGCTCCTTTAATAAAGTTAATTTTTGTTTAAATCTTGGGATTTTCTATCATCTGCTTCAACTTGGCTGAGCTATTGGTTCCCCCAAATTTGTTTGGTTTCCCATTCGGTAGTCTTAACTAGAGGCGGGATGGGGTAAAGATTTCCCTTTTAATCCTCTCCTGGTTCATCAAAGGGCTTGTGTGGAAGGGAGAAACTACGGGTAGTTTGAAACAGAGGAGTTTCTATGACAGCAAAGGTACCTACATTTCCAGTCATTGTTCAGCTGTAGGTGTGACTTATCTCCAGAGCAAAGCACCTCAGAAGAAAAGCTTTATTGTTACAATAGGGAACTCTGGGAATTGTAGTTTAAAACTGGTCAATAAAACCCCATACCTTGCAATGTAGAATACCCAGAATTATTAGGAAACACTGTTCCATAATGATTGGCAGGTCCAATCATTGACTAACCCATGAAGCTGTGTCATGCTGCTTCTTGCACTAGCTGGCAGACTTCATAACACTCCCTTTCCCTAGGCTCAGAGTGTTCCTGTTAATTATTTCATCAGAACTGCATGTCAACAATTGGATCCTGAGAATATGGCAAAAATCTTTATGCAAGAATGCTAAACAATGTATTAGTTTACATTCTGCAGGCCATTTGAAATGTGGGGAGCAGTTCTGACTTAGGGTTGTATAGTTGTTTGAGAATTATCAGCTCTTTTTCTTGACAGAAGCAATGAAAAATTTTCTCACAATTTAAAAGTCCAAAATAGTTTGCTTCTAAACTTGTTTGCATCTATTTTATTCCCCAGAATTACAGGCTTTGAAAGATTCTTTTATCTCTCTTTTATAAGCAACAAATCTCTGTGTACCAGCTCGCATATTTAGAGATGGGATCAACATGTGTTTAGAAAAGGCAATGACTTATTCTTGACTAAGAACCAAAGAAGACAGCTGTTGCTTTACTTTAAATGGGCATAATGGAGAAGGCAACCTGTGCAGTAGGGTTAAAGGACTATAAGATCTTTGCCAAAGTAATAATGATTTAGCATCAATGAATTATTATTAGCATGTTTTATTAACTGATTTCTATTTTGTGCTTCTGTTGCAGAACCACCATATTCT